CTATCAGAATGCAAGAGGTTTGCGTAGCAAGCTCACTAAATTGTATTCCGATAGCCTTTCCTTTCCATCTCATATTATTGTGTTTACAGAAACTTGGTTAAAGCCGGAAATCCATATCACCCTACAATCTAACTTTCATTTAACACGGGTAGAGTTATAGAAGAAAAATCAGAAAAATCATCCAAGCGAATACATTGTTTTAGCAAGGCAGACTTTCTGAGCCTAAATAATTTTATTTCTGGCTTTAATTGGTCTGAAATTTACTTATGCAATAATATGTCAGAGGCAGTTAATGTTTTTTACACTGCAATAAACTCATTTTTTAATTCCTGTGTTCCGTGGTACTATCCGTCAATTTCCAAAAAATCACCTTGGCTTAGCAAAGAGTTAACACACTTTAGAAATGTAAAGTCCAGACTTTTTAGGAAATATAAAAATACCGGTTCTCAATCTGTTTTTACTAGATATTTAAGTGCTCGGTCAACACTTACCGTGCTTAATGCTCAGTGTTATAATAGTTACATGAACCGTTGTAAGGTCCAGTTCTCTCAGGACCCGAAACAGTTTTATAACTTCGTTAACACCAAGCGTAAATCTAATTCTTATCCTTCCTCGCTGTCGTTCGAAAACATGACGGCAACCACAGATCAGGCAATAGCCGATTTATTTGCCCAATTTTTTCAAACGACCTACTCTACTTTAGATTATTCATCACAGCCTTATTCTTACACCATATCCAAGTCAAACCTCATATTCTGTCCTACTTTAACAGAAAGCTCTCTTCTTTTTGATCTTCTTCGTATTAAACCCGTTTTATTCGCCAGGGCCCGATGGTATTCCTGGGTGCGTGCTTAGGTATTGTGCTAAGGCCCTGTGCAAACCTCTTCACAAGTTGTTTACCTTATCTCTAGAAACTTCCCAATTCCCAAATATTTGGAAGGAATCATTTGTTATTCCTCTTTTCAAAAAAGGTAACAAGTTAGAATCCAGTATTAGAAATACTGTCAGCTATTCCTAAGCTTTTTGAAAAAATCATTACTCCTCATCTGCAGCACCTTTGTAGATCAATCATTTCTCCGAGTCAACACGGATTTATTAAACGTATATCAACAATCACAAACCTTCTAGAGCTCACTACATTTGTGATAAAGGGCTTTCAATAATAGTTTTCAAACAGACGTCATTTACACTGACTTTAGTAAAGCATTTGACTCTGTAAATCACTTACTTCTTGTTCAAAAACTTGACTGACAGGTTTTCCAGTCGATCTACTTAAAAGGATCTCAAGTTATCTGAAAGGGTCACAAAGGGTCCTTTTTAAAAATTCGATTTCTAAAATTCTCCGTGTTACCTCCGGTGTCCCACAAGGGAGCCATTTGGGTCCGTTACTTTTTACATTATTTATTAACGATCTTCTATTAATTATAAGTCATTCTCGCGTACTTATGTACGCAGATGATGTTAAGTTATGCCTGCAGTATAAGGATATTTTCTGCCATTTAGACTTACAATCCGATCTAGATAATTTTCAAAACTGGTGCCGAGATAATTTACTAAATTTAAACGGTTCCAAGAGCAAGCTGATGACTTTTTATCGGGCCAATCCGATATACGCGACTTACACGTTAAGTGGCAGCTCTTTGGATAGAATAACTCTTGTAAACGATCTTGGCGTTCTCTTGGACCCTAAACTAAAATTTTCGAATCACATTTCGTCCATGTTTAATAAAGCAAAGGAGTGCTTGGATTTATAAAAGGTGGTCAAAAGAATACGATGATCCTTATTTAACTAAAACTTTATTTATTTCGCTAGTCCGTCCGATTCTGGAGTATGGGTCTTCCGTCTGAAGACCACAATACGGAATACATATTGGTCGTATTGAATCTGTACAAAAAAACTTCCTTCTTTTTGCTTTACAGCGCCTAAACTGAGATGCAAATCTTAACTTACCTTCTTATTCTAATAGACTTCTGTTGATTAATTTACCCTCCCTAGCCAACCGTAGAACGATGCTTGGTACTATATTTATTTATAGCCTTATACATGGTGATATTGACTGCCCCGACTTGATAATTCGGCTAAACTTTTCTGTGCTAAGTAGATTAACTAGAAATTATATTCCCCTAATTTTAAATCATTGTAGATCTAACTATGCCTTTCATGAGCCTTTCAGAGTATTATTGTATGACTATAATAGACTTTTTCCTGTAACCTCAAATCTTGACTCTCTGCCGCTCCTAAAACGATTAATACTTGCTTCATTAGCACAAGATTGATCTAACTATTACTTTTTCCCCGGACCTTTACCTTTATTTTCTTATCTCGCGTCTATCTTCTCGCGAATCGTGCCGTACGATACACGGCTGCGCCCCGCGGTCGGTTGGGCGGGTAAGTAACTGGGACTCCGCGCGAAAAAAAAAAAAAGATTTTATGGCAGCCGATTTGGACAAAAATCGTCGTCCGATTTTGACAAATAATATAAAAGCGTAATCTTAAAGGAATATTTTAATAAATTCCATTCCCTTCAAACTTTTTATATTCACGTATTTTTATACCCCTACAGAAGGTATTATAATTTCAGCTTTTTTTAGCTACAGTGGTTTCTCAGCAGTTTGCAGCAGGTTTTCCTTTAAAATCTGTATGTCAAAAGAAGAATGTTTGTTCCTTGTCCCTAATACGGAGCTAGAAAACAAACATCTAAAAGCTACGGTCAAGCATGGCCGAGGTCATGTTATGGTTTAGACCTGTATAGCAGCTTCTGGTGGGGCAACCTCGTTTTTATTGATGGGGTCAAGGATGGCCAAAATGTTCATACGATATTAAAGGGAAACCTGCTGCCAACTACTGAGAAACTGAGCATACGCGATCGTTTTCGGTATTACCAGGGTAACGATCCTAAACATTCAGCAGCAATTGTGAAGACTTGGCTTGTCTGGAACTGCCCACCTGCCCAGTCAGCAGGCCTTAACGTCATTGAAAATTTGTAGGCAATTTTGGATCTGGCCATCCGCAAGAGGTCACAATCTAATAAAAATTATCTTAAAAAGGCCCTCTTGGAAGAATAGGCCAAGATTCCAAAGGAGACCACAGAAATGTTGGTTTCTTCGATGCAAACTCGATTAAAGGATGTCAACAAATAGAAGGGAGGCCACGCAAAGTATAAAGTTATTTAATAGTCAATATATTTCAAATTAAGTTCCTTGCACGAAATAAGCTGTGACATAAAAAAAGTCAGTATTTTTATTTTTTCTTAGTTTTCAGGGGGTATGGTATTTACATTTTTGTTGGCCCTTTTTAAAAATTTTTTTTCTGAATGCACAACATTTGAAGAATATTGCATAAAAATTTTAGATTCATCCGAGTAAAACTTCCGAAGTTTTGGGCAGTGTAACGTAGGTGAGTTAACTCGTTTTGTATGCGATTTTTCGGTGTCCAAAACTTTAAAACGCTCTCCTGAAAAGTTGCAATTTCAAAGTCGGTGAACACGATTTTGCAAAATCTACTAAACGAATCGTTTTGAAATTTTACACACAATTTCTGTACCTAAATCCGCAGGTACTGACGTCGAGTTTTTTTTTTTACTTATTATTTTTCATTTTAAGGCAGGCTTGCACCTTGTTGGCGCCCAAAACCTGATTTTTTTCTGGAATTTATTTCTTGGAAAGTATAGTAGGTGTGGGAATAAAATAGCCAGTTGTAGGGTACAGTTTATTGAAGCTACACAATTTTTTTGAGTGCGATCCAAGCGAAGGGGGGAGGGGGAGTACCCAACAATGGCGGCATGTCCGCGAAAAACTCGTCCTCATGGCGGATTTTTTGGAATTTTAATAAATAATCTGAAACGCAAAAAACGAATATATTCTTAATCTGTACACTTGATCGCATGGCTTGAACTAGGATAATTGAAAAAACATAAAAAATGCAAAAATTATAAGCTTTTGAAAAAAAAATCGGTTTTTTCCTAATTTTTTTCGTTACTCATTATTTTTTTAAATAAACAATTTTTAATATTTTCAAAAGATCCTAGTCTATACCATGCACATCCTTCTGAGGAACATGTATAAAAAATTTCATGACGATTGCTCAATTTTTGCGGCTTGTACGACTTCCGCCAACTCGGAAAACATGGTTTCGAGAAAAACGCGTTTGAAAATTTTCACTATAATGGCAACGCGCTTGACACCGGTCCACCAAACGTCCGATAACTTTCGTAATTCAAGAGATTTCGACTTTAAATTTTAGGAGAGTAAAATTGAAACATGTATGTATCCGAAACTGCAAAAAAAAAAAAATTGATTTTTTTGACTTCACAAGGTGCAAGCCTGCCTTAACATATCGAATTTTTAGGCTAAAATCACGTTTTTGACTTTAAAGTTGTAGTTACCTCTAGAAACATATTAACTAAAAAACTATTTTTTTTGGTTTTTGATGATCCAGTAACGAGTTATGCTGTTCACCTCAAAACCTTTTTTCTTGGAGGCGCCTACGGAGCTTTGCTGCGAACGGCTCATTTATTTTATTTTCAGAAAATTTGCGAAAACTTAGTTTATATGTTGTACTTTAATATCAATATAAAATAATTGATCTGACATTTACCGTATGGCCGAATAAATTGTTTAATTAATTGCCTTTACTATTTTGAATTGTTTTGTAATCATACATAATTCGCTCCTTATTTTGACTACAAACGTGGACAACGCCATTTCATTTTTTTAAAAAAAGTTCATAAAATTCGAGATATTTATACAAACTATATTGAGTGCTATTTAACGCTTTACAGCTGATTTTATAGAGCATATGATTTATCAATCATATGTACTGTTCCCTTATAGTAAGTGATTATACAGATATTACATCTATCTAGTTCGATTAATATAAACAGAAACTTAAAATGTTATGCAACGCAAAAAATTAAACGAAATTTTCAAGAAAAAGTAATGCACACCGTTTGATATTACAACAACCCTAAGTAAAATAATTATAATAAATACACAGCTAATCCACGAGGTTTGTTTATTTAATTTCTAATTTATTGGCATTTCAATCAATGCTTTAATTATAATAATGCTTTAATTTGTAGTTACTTTAGTTTTGAAAAAAGACTGTGAGCAACGCAATGATCCAATTCAGCTACATAGTCAAACAATTCTTCCATGCACGTCTCCGTTGTTTTGGATCGCCCATTCACACGATCATTGCACTCTTGGTACTTGTTGTACAAGGATTCAATATGACCTTTAGCTTGACACTTTTCCTGTTGCATAAAAAATATAAAACAATATTTCTTATAAGAAATTAAAACTTCTTACCCTTAGGGTGGCTTGCGGATCAACCAACTCCTCTTCGTCATCGGCTCTAACGACAGGAAGTGAAAACAAATTTCTGAAGGCCATAGTTAAAGCTGTAATCACAAAATAAAATGTTCTTAATACAACATATTCCAGTTAGCATGGGTTTTAAAATAAAGACGTAAAAAATTAAATTATAAAGATTTCATTTGGAAGGTCAAAAATTAAATCCTATGTTTTCAAAGATACAATAACAAAAAATTACCTATTAATAATAACCTTTAAAATAAGACTGTGATGCAACCACAATATATTAAACGTCTGATTAATGACGTTGCCAGACTCACAAAGAAAACCGAGACAAATATTTAATGAACTCCGTAATGTCCTTATCACAAGACATTGCTCATGCACCATGAAATAATCAGCGTCAAATTAGCGTCGCTGACTTAGCGGCAATGGAGGAACGGTAAAGATTGGAACACGGCGTTTGTTTTTATATTTTTTCGGCTAAGGTGTGTTATTAAGAAATGAAATAAATAAAGAAAAGAATTACACGTTATTAAAAAGAATTGCGCATTTCAAGGTCTGTAAACATTTTTTTTTGCTCTTATGAGATCGATTCTCAACATATTGGATAGATTGTGATTTTTCACATAGATTGTGCCAATATGCAAGCCAGTCTATCCAGGGTCAATTTAATACCCCCTTTCCATAGAGTCTATCCGTCTGAAACGGTTGGGATTTTTGACAAATGTGAAACTCCGATTCCCACAGGGCACATCCACCATCTACCATCCGATAACAGCTGGTCTGAACAGCTGTGACTCATCATTTTAGCCCGTTGCATTTTGCACAACATTTAAAATGAGCACAACAGCGTTATAAATAATAATTGGTAACAGACTGCAACTGATCTACGTGAGCAACCAAATCGAACTAATATGTCTACAGATTTTTCACAGCCTGCAGCAAAAATATGAACCGCTTTTGCCCTATATTGTCTAAATGGTAACAAATAAAGTTCATTATATAGAAATGTTTGTTTTTGTTTTATTATAATTTCATATTTAATTTTATTTTTAATGTTAAGGATGTCAGACAGCCGAGCTCAGTTCAATGACATGATCTCGGTCTGCGCTCGCTGCTCCTCCAGCCTTTCTCCAGCGTTATCTCCACAACCTCGGCCTTGTGGTCCACCTTTGCGCGCTTTGCAGGGGGCGCAGAGCTGCCTGAGCGTTGACTTCCGCTGCAGAGGCTTCCTTGTCATTGGGGTCCACATCTAAGACCTTCAAAAAGAATTCCCTAATACCTGCAATAAATATATTTAATTAGAAGTTGTAAACCACAAATGTAAGTCTGGGGACATACCCTCGTTCTTCAAGGTATTCTGCGAAGAGTGGAGCAACTCTTAATGCTGCCACACGGATGGAGAAGTAATTAATTATTACAAGTATAAACATAATTTTTTGATTTGGCGCCTTCCTTTTTAAAAAGTTACCCGCCATTATTTTTTAAATTTTCTAGTGAATGTTCCAATTTCTACTGCCAAGAAGAAGAACTCAGAGTTGCACCGAAAAAACATCGCCTAACAATCGCATAAAAAAGTCCATCAAATTTGGATGGAGAACGGCAAAACCTTATGGACCATCCGTTCAACGGATGGTGGATGGATCTCTGTGTGAAGACGACATAATATTCTTTTCTGAAAGTTTCTTTTAAAATAAACCGACTGTTTTCGAGAAAACAAAAAAAATTAAATTATATAGGGGTCCAATATGCATGTCCAATATCTCATTAGTAGGGGCATAATTTTGACTTTAATAAATGTAAATATATTTTTAAAGACAAAATAAGCCTACAGTTTTTGTTCGCCTAATGGACATTTTTTATAAGAAAACGTTTTGGCGCTGAAAATGGAAAAACGATAATAGTTTTAAAGTACTTCCTTAATGTGCTAGGTGTACATTCCTAATTGGACTTACCCGCCTTGGTAACACGTAAGATTTATCTATTTTAAGAGATTACTTTAATCTTTCCGATTTGACTTTTGAGAGTTCATCATATTTGAGTGTGCTACGGTACGCAGCTTAAATTATAATTTCCAAGCCCAGCTCAAAAATAATAGTATGGGGTGGTTTCCTTGAACGTTATAAAAGTTTTATTTGATGATATAAATATTCCCTTAGTTCACAAGTGTCTCGGTTCGTTGTAGAAGAAAAAGTAACATTTTTAAAATATTAATCCGAGTAAAACTGCCGAAGCTATGGATAGTGGAATTTACCTGCATTCAATGCGCGTTTTATGTTATATTTTTGAGTGTCCTAACCTTTAAAACGCTCTCCTGGAAAGTCGCCATTTTCAAAGCATTTTGCCAATGTTTCTATGGGAGCCATAGCGTAATTCTGATATAGTAAATAATTACTATAATATACTATAATAACAAGAAAAACTGCAAAATAAAATTTTGTATCGATGTTCCTATGGAAGCTTTATGATATAGATGTCCGATTTTAATTTTACTAAGACCGTAATTCCATTAGCCTAGTACTCAGATCGACAAACGAGTACGTTAGCGTAAAAACTTTAATCTTTCCAGTGTGACCAAAATTTGGAGAGTTCATCCGAACTGAGCGTACTACGGTCTTACTGTCAATCAGCTGGGTTTCTTGACAAGCAAAAAAACCAAACAAATTTCAATTTAACATGTATTGTGGCATTAGAGGAAGAGAACAAAAGACAGCGGCGGAAATATTGGGTGGGGGATATGAACTCTGGGTGAACCCTAGCGAAAAGATTAAAAAATTTAATCTTTTGGCGTGCGCTTCTCACTGAACATTATACGAAATGGAGGGAAAAACTCAAAAAACTCGCAAAAGTCGATTGCAGGAGTTTACATGTGAGGACAAAATAACATTAATACTATCTGGGGTGCCTCTTGTCAGAGTAAAATGTTTTTTAGGTTAAGAATGTACGAAAAAACACAATAAAAGTGCAGCTATGAACTTTAAATTAGCAAATAATTATCAGTGAATTAAAAAAAAACAACTGTTAAATTTAAATTGTATTGTTTTTTAATTTTTTTGTACACCGGCAGACTTATCTTGCCAAGCTATTTGATTATATCTTTTAAAGGCTCTCTCCCGCAAATACGATATTTGAATTTTAACTGCTTGTCAACAAACCCAGCTGATTGCCAGTACGACCGTAGCACGCTTAAATCTGATGAACTCTCAAAATTTTGGTCACACTGGAAAGATTAAAGATTTACGCTAGCGTAATCGTTTGTCAATCTGGATACTAGGCTTTAACCAAAATGTATTTTTTTATGTACGGTCATACAAATGGCTTAAGGAGACATTGCGCGGTGTCAGGCGATAAAAATGGCTAGGCCATAAGGGAGAACCCAGTTATACCTGCTAGTCGATACACCTTGCCGACAAAGTCCAGGCGGAACTCCGGGAGCCTGCGATAAAGGTGGCTAGGCGATATGGCTGGACATAGTAGGCGATACACCTTGCCGGCCCCGGCAGGAAGGTCCCCATAACATCCAGGATCTCGGTGGAGCCGGTCCGATCTCAGACACCCGGAGCAGCAAGCCAGAACCGACGCAGCAGCAAGGCAGGAGCGACTCAGGGCAGCGAGGACAGCTCAATCCCAATCCTTTCTTGCGTTATCTTTTGATCACGGAGCGAGCAAGACACAAAAGAATCAGGTCGCTGCAGTCTTCAAAAAACACTTAAGGCCGTCAATTGTATATTTTTTAATATCGTTTTCACTCACTTTTTTTTTTAATCAAAGATAAAAAAATCAAAATAAAAAAATAAATAAATAAAAAATCAAATAAATAAAAAATAATCAAAGCCACTTTTGATTATAATAATAATTTTGTCAGGAGTTAATTATTTATTTTTTTATTTAGCAGTTCTTCACACGCGTGTGTCTGGCACAGTTCTTCGGCGAATGATGATTTTTTTATTTTTTGTTTTTGGGGTTGTCATACCTTATTCTACTGTTCTGCGTTGCAAGATCGCATACTTAAATCTAGTATTTTATATATTTGTTGTTGCTTTAGATATACTTTTTATACCCGTTACTCGTAGAGTAAAAGGGTATATTGTATTCGTGCAAAAGTATGTAACAGGTAGAAGGAAGCGTTTCCGACCCTATAAAGTATATATATTCTTGTTCAGGATCACTAGCCGAGTCGAACTAGCCATGTCCGTCTGTCCGTCTGTCTGTCCGTCTGTTCGTCTGTCTGTCTGTCCGTATGAACGCTGAGATCTCGGAAACTATAAAAGCTAGAAGATTGGCATTTTGCATGTAGATTTGAGGAGTTCCTACGCAGCGCAAGTTTGTTTCAAAATGGTGCCACGCCCCCTCCGACGCCCATAAGCCACAAGCTGTGGCCACAGTTTTGATGATATTATGAAAATTTTAATTGATATGTATTTGTTTCGTCAATAAATATCGATTGGCCTAATAAAAGTTTGCCACGCCCACTCTAAGCCTGGCTAGCGCCTACATTTCCGCCTTTTATGGCGCCATCTAACGGATGACTTTGGAACAGCTGACCAAGGTGCTCAACAGAGTCAACGCTAATTTCATTTTTTTTCATTTGTCAATACCGAACTATATCCCAAGAACTATGCAAATCAAATCAAGTTAGCCAAATTGGAGGTCTGAGTCAAACAATGGCGTATATGTGTATTTATGTAAGCATATACATATGTATGTATTTACATTGTACTCAGTTGCAATTGCCCGGCAAAGATAACTCCTTTCAAAAAAGCTATTCGCTATACCCGTTACTCGTGTTGTGCAAACATTTAGACTTTAATATACATAATACTATTTAAGAATGTATGTGTTTAGCCAATATAAGTATGTAAGTTTAATATTTCTAGTCAATTTATTACAAGAAGGTATATTTATATTAAGTTGTTTAGCTGAGTAACGGGTATCTAATAGTCGAGGCACTCGACTATAGCGTTCTCTCTTGTTTTATATTCGGACGTTGGTGCACTATGATCAGCGCAAACAAGTGGCCCTTACGACACCAAGCAGTGCTTGTTACGCGCGGAGCCCAATGGGCGTAAAAACGAGATCGCGAAAAGTGAAAAAGGACAATATAGAAGCGGACAGACTTAGTTAGAAATACTTACGAGACTAATACTAATTTTGTACTAAGTAAGATAAAATTAATGCTTTTAGGCTTGGCAAAGAGTCGGTAGTAGAAATAACATGGTCTATTATAGTCGTTACACAGTACTCTAAACGGTTCATGCATATCATAGTTAGATCTACAAATATTTAAAGTAAGCGGAATATAGTTCCTGGTCATTCTATTAGTAACTCGGGACTCTCCACATCCCGTGAATAAGTTTATAAATAAAAGT